TATTACATTAAGACAAATTGCCATGAATACCCCTCAAAGTATCCCTTGGTTCAAACACACTTATCCCATTGCTCTTGTGACTTTCTGAAGCAGTTCTAGAAATTCTTTCTTGAGTGCCTTAGGAGGTGTGGTCAAAAATGAATGCTTGGGCTGGGGATGTAGCTCAGTGGCACAGAGCCTGCCTAGCAAGTGTAAAGTCCAGAGTTTGATCCTGGTACTCCCCCCAACACACACACACACAAAAGCTGCTGCTGCCAAGGCATCCCAAGGAAAGGCAGCTCATAAAAACATCACAGCACAGCCTCATTCTCCTTATTTACTGAATCTGGCACTGGGCAACTTCCGGTTCATCCCAAAGTTGAAATACCATGAAAGTCAACATTTTACATCAATTCAGGACATGGAAGAAGCCATGACAGCACAACTAAAGACACTCAGGAAAGAGGACTTCCAGAGTGGCTTCAGAAAGTAGCAAAAATAGCCGGGCATGGTGACGCACACCTGTAAATTCCAGCACTTGGGAGCTGAGCCAGGAGGATCGCTGTGAGTTTGAGGCCAGCCTGGGCTACATAGTGAGTTCCAAGTCAGTCTCAACTATGTAATGAGACCCTGTCTCAAAAACCAAACAAACAAAAAGAAAGTAGCAAAAATGATGGGATGAGTGTATGTGAGGCAAGGGGAGTATTAGAGGGGGTTCATGGCAATGTGTCTTTTACTGTAACAAATTTAAGCAGTCACCATATTTTTATGAAACCACACATAGGGCACAAGGGCACAGTGCCCACTCCCACTTCCCAAGCCAGACAGTCTGTTTCTTCAACTTCCTCACAGTTTTCTGGTTTGGTTTGATTTTTTCAAGTTTTGAGTACAGAGCTCTGCTGTCTCATCTCTTCCATAAAGGTTTCCAGGTCAATGCCTCAGTTTATTCTTTCCAAATTAACATGACTAAAAATATTTAAAAGCAGAACCGGCATGAGCTCAGTTACACTAACAGGGATGGAAAGCCAGTTCGACTCAGCCACTGTCTCCAGATCTCCTTATTACTAATAGTTTCTTTTGTTTTGTTTGAGACAACGCCTTTAAGTAGTTCAGGGTGGCCTTGAACTCACAGTGATCCTGCCTCAGCCTCTGGAGTGCTGGGATTCCAAGCATGTGCCACCACACACAGCTCGCTCACATAATTTTACTTCCATTTCCCTCATAGCCCTGGGCTGTTTCATCAAGAGGGTGAGAAAAGGAAAGACTGATTTTCTGTGCAAGGATTTAGCAAAGCTTAATGGAGTCTTCCTCCACGTGACCATCTCTAGGGCCAGCTGTGAGAGATCATGGGTACCGCAGGCCAGCACAGGGGCCCCTGTTCAACTCCCTGGCTGAGACAGGACCCCATGAGGGACAATGAGCCAGGAAAAGAGATCACCAGCCATGGGCTCAGTTAGATCAACTACAGCGTGGAGAGTCCTGCTACAACCAGGGAAGGGACTAAAAATTATGCTCACTGCAGCAGCTCATACACTAAAACTGGAATAGAGATTAGCTGGGCCCTTGCTCATGAATGAATGGGGATGACATGCAAATTCATGCTGTTCCATATTTTTAAACAAATAAAGTGAATTATGTGTACAAAAAAAAAAAGTAGTTAAGCCCTGTGTGGTAGTACATGTCTGCAAACCCAGCACTCTGAGGCTGAGGCAGGAAGACTGTGAGTTAGAGCCCTGCCTGGGTAATTTAGAGATTCAGTGAGACCCTTTCTCAAAACAAAAATTTTTTAAAAGCCTGGGAATTGGGCCAGGGGTTTAGCTCAGTGGTTTCGCCACTCGCTTTGCAAGCAACAAGGTCCCAAGTTCAATCCCCAGTACCCACTCTCCGAAAAAAACAAACCTGGGATGTAGCTTAGTGAGATAGATCTGAGTTCAATAACCATAGCTAATGTATCATTTTCATTTTACTGTCCTCTTCTTTTGTCCTTTTGTCCCTATCAGGTACTTCTCGGGGCATTAACAGTATAGTGGTGTGGTCTGAGTTGCTCTGAGTTGCAGGGTCCCCTTCCTCTCACTGCTGAAGCCACCTGCTAACCTTGCAGGGCTGCTGTCAGGGTGAATGAGGTAGCAGGTCAAGGGCTGAGCACCAGGCCTCACACTTTATCTGCTCTGTCCATCTTTACTGCAAATAAAGTTTATGGCAAACCCTAAACAGAAGCCAAAGGGAAATACATACTATGAAAACAAGTCATCTCATTAGGACAGCCTCGAGTTGTAATTAAAAAAAGCAAAGATGCCGGGTGTGGTGGTGCACGCCTGTAATTCCAGCATTCGGGAGGCTGAGGCAGGAGAATCGCTGTGAATTTGAGACTAGCCTGGACTACACAGTGAGTTCCAGGTCAGTCTCAACTACATAGTGAGACCCTGTCTCAAAAAACCAAAAAAAAAAAAAAAAAAAAAAACAAAAAAAAAAAAAAAAAAAAAAAAAAGGAAAACACAGACTCTGACCCAGAGATTTAGCTACAGTAGGTAAGAGGTGTGGTTCTCCACTGCCTTTTGTGACATTTCAAAAATACATCACTGGGACACTTTTCTATTTATTGACACTTTGGATTGTACCTAGGGCCTTGAAGATGCCAAGCAAGTGCTCTACAACTGAGATACATTCTCAGTCATTTTTAGTTCTTGTATCAAGTCAGGGGCTCTTTAAATTTCCCAGGTTGGCCTTGAACTTGGGATCTTACTGCCTCACCCTCCCAAGTTAGCTGGGATTATAGGACCAATGCACCTGGTTTAATTTTTACATGTGTCTTCAGCTGTGTAATTCCATGGGTAAATACTGAAGTTACAACTTAACTTACATGTGTCATCTTACCAGAGGATGGTACAGGGAAACTGTTCTCCAGGCTATGGTTGTGGGATTCACATGCCTCTTGCACGTAAATGCATCTCAGTGAAGAGAGGCAGCTGGCAAAACCCAACTGAGCTGCTATCTTGTGCACCGACCCAGGGTGGCAGACAGCTGTGAATCTCAGGGTAGGCATGAGTGTGAAAAACAGAAGAGGTGGGGGCAGGATCAAGTAGGAGCCTTAGGTATGGATAGGAGCATGCAGGGGGCACAGCAGGGTTGGGCCTCCCAGACTCAGAAAGGCTTCTTGGAGCCAGTGGCAGGCTGTGTCTCAGAACAGGCAGATGCACCACTAGTGGGGCCCCCAGTACCCAACAAAGGCAGCAGAGCGCAAAGGAACTGAGGCAGGGCCCTGCTGGACACAGGAAGGAGTTGCTGGGCAAGAATGTGGAGAGGCATACTGGGGTGGGGACCTGTGATGAAGTTCCATGCAGGCCCTACCGTGAAGGCCGGTGCTGTCCGGGGAGTGTGACCTTTGGTGACAGGAACCGCAGGAAGCCACAAGGTGCTGAAGCTGGGCAGGGACAGGCTGAGGTCTGCATCATAAGACAGAGGCTGGAGCAGCAGGGTGGGACTAGGGGCTCTTGGGGAACCAGAAAGGGCTAATGCTGGGGTCAGGCAGAGAATGAGTTAGGCCAGGGGCTCTGGGCCCAGGAGCTGTGATGCAGCCAAGTGCAATACGCAGGGTGTGAGGAGGGAGGAGCTTTGGAGGACCCCCATGTTTAGGGGTGGGGGAGACTGGGGGATGATGGCACTCACAGGAAATGTGAGGAGGTGTGGCGGTCCAGCCGTCAAAACACGAACATGCCTGAGTCGGGGAGTGAGGATTGAGAAAGGAAAGAACACTCAAGCCTGACCGGAGACGAAGAGAAGTCTGATTTATTTCACAGAAACAGCTCCTTTTATAGGTTCACATCAACAGGAAACAGGAAGCACCAAGCAACTATTTGTATCTTTTATGCAAAGACCGGATTTTCTGACTCTTTGCAAAGAACATCAGATCTTTGGCTGTCTCCTTGAGTTTCTCCCATTGCAGCAACAAGTTTAACAAGCAGAGTCCTAGAATGTTACAGATTGTATCAATGCCTTGAGTGTAGAGGTGAAGAAGTTTCCTTTTAAATGTCAAACTCCTAGAGGGCCATGGCGGGGCTCCCACAAGGAGGCAGCCAAGGCCACTGAGGCCTAGAGGAACAAGTCCAGGAGGGAACTCCAAGAGAGGGGAGACTGGACACCAAGCAAGGCCAGTGTCCCAGAGAGTGACACCATAGGCAGAGGTCCCCATGTGCTGAGGCCCATCCATCTGAAGGCTGAGCTCAGACGGAGGAACTGGGGGTGACACAGGGGCACCAGCCTGGGTGTCCACACCACAGGGTCAAGGTCCTCGGATGCAAGAAATTTTAAGGGCACAGACTGGGAGCAAGAAGTGAGTGAGGTGATACAAGAGACTTGCTGAGTGAGACCTCAGGCTGAAGCAACTGCTTTTTCTATTTACTACTTATTATAGATTTCTGGTCCCAAGGCTGTTTGAATGAGTGTGCATGTGTGTAAGCAGTACTGGGGATTCAACCTAAGGCCTCTACACTAGCTATGCCTCCAGCCTTTTGCGGGGGGGAGGTGGCCTGGCTAAGTCTCTCAAGCTGGGCTTAATTTTTTTATCGTCTTTTTGAGATAAGGACTTGATATGTAGTTCAGGTTGGTCTCAGATGTATAGTGATATTCCTGCCTCAGCCTCTCAAGTACTAGCCTAATTCTGCCAATTCCAGCTTATCTTACTATTCCAGGATATTTTTTATTTCTACCCGGTAAGTAGGAGAGAAAAAATTTTTTTCAAGAAGCTCAATATTGCTGGGTGTGGTAGCGCACGCCTGTAATCCCAGCATTCAGGAGGCTGAGGCAGGAGGATCACTGAGTTCCAGACCAGCCTGGCTACACAGTGAGTTCCAGGGCAGTCTGAACTAGATAGTGAGACCCTGTCTAAAAAAAAAAAGTGCTCAATATTAACTTTCAAGATTTAAAGATCTTCAACTCAAGATTCCTCTAATTCAGCTGCGAATTTAGCTCAGTGGTTCCACTGCCTACCTTGCAAGTACAAGGTCCCAAATTCGAACCCCAGCACCAAAAGAAAAAAAAATCCTCTAATAATCAAATTTAGGAACTAAAAAAACAAACAAAAAAACCTCAGTATCAGCCACAAATCCATCCTGCCTACTCCTCCTCCCTGACAAGGCAGCTCCTACATCTTCCCAGAAAGGAATCCTCCTTCTGGCCGGCTATAGGACTTCTCATTCCTGAGCTTCCCCAGCACCTAGTACTCAGTGACCATTTGCGAAATATGTGAAGGGACAGAATCAAGGATGGGCATTGCACATCCTCACGTGTTAGCTTAACCACCACCACTGCCTAGCACTTCCTTCCGTGGCTAACGTAACTGATTCTGGATAGAAATGATTGCAGTAGCCTCCTCGGGATGCCATCCAGCTCCTTAGCCGATGCAGCTGTGCTGAAGTCCCACGGACAGACTGAAAGTGGGGCTCACAAAGAGCAGCAGCCAGAGTGCAGCTTATTTCCCTCAGAGGTCCTGGCCGCTCTCAGTGTGAGGCACAAGGTGTTGGGGGTATTGGGGTCAGGGTCTGAACAGTCAAGTTCAGGTTTTTAACATACATTAGAGGACAGGCTCAGGGAAAGAATGGGAATCCATTTTACTAGGCAATATGGAGCTCCCACCCTGTAATAACAAGACCCTCGTCCCTGGAACCCAGGCCCCAGGAGTAGAAAGTGGCTTCACATCTCCGAGACACCCCATCTGCTCCCTTCTTTCCTCCTAACCAACCCCATCACCTGCTGTCATCCCGACTTAACCGTCTTATGGTTCCACAGCCCAAGAACAAAGCCCTGGGAGCAGCCAGGATGACAAGGGAATCTAGCACAAATTCCTAACTCAAGCCAAGAGCTCTCCGGGGGATTTGCTGTCTGCCCTCAAAGTCGGTACTTTCTTAAAAATCCTTTTCTTGGTATCCAAAAGCTACCTAACAAATACCTGAGCCTCTGTATAGAAAATGATGACATAACGAAGAGGAGGCAAGTACAGAGTGTTCAGAACCAAGAAGGCAGCAGGCAGGGCTGTGTCACCCTTGATGACAGGAAGCCCAGCCAACAGCAGGCAGCTGGGCTCACAGACCTCACACCCTGTACTCTAACCCCAAGGGAATGAGGTACCCACTGGCAGCCATCTCACCAGCACCAGAAATGAGCCCGAAGACCTGCATTCCAGGCCACACTTCCTCCCTGACACATTCTGGAAATCGAAAAGGGCTTCCCCTTCACGTGGGTGACAGGACTGCAGAAGGCCCACCACCCTGAGCCAAAACCTATGCCCAAGACACCAGAGCCAGGAAGCCAGGGGGCCCAGGAATGTCATCAGCTCGGGCACCAAGTGGCAGCAAACCAACCAGAACTGCAGGACAAACGGCCCAGTTTCTCTGGAGACTCAGCCCGTGTGGAGAATATTACCGAGGAGGAAACCAAGGCAGAGAATTAGGAGAGCAGGCCAACAACATTGTGAAGGTAACAGAAAAAGACCCAACTTTCCAACCTTCCAGCCTCTGAGGTTCTTAACTGTGGGGGCCCCGACTCTGGACAAGCAAGGTGCCAGCCTGGTAGACACTGGGATGAGGTGGAGGTAACTGCCACCATTTGGAACAAATGCAGTGCAGCCCCTCACTCTCCACAGCGGTCCCCTCCCTGCACCCTGCCACCTCAGTACAGTTTCTCTTTCACATGAGTCCTCTGGTGTGTGATGAAGTTGGAGCTGTTGCTGAAGCCCTTGCCGCACTCAGGGCACTTGTAGGGCTTCTCGCCCGTGTGGATGCGCTGGTGGATGATGAGCACCGAGTTCCAGCTGAAGCCCTTGCCGCACTCGGGGCAGCGGTAGGGCTTGTCCCCCAGGTGCGCCCGCTGGTGCATGAGCAGGATGGAGCTGCGGCTGAAGCTCTTGCCGCACATGAGGCATGGGTAGGGCTTCTCGCCGGTGTGTGTGCGCTGGTGCACCACGAGCTGGGAGCGCTGGCTGAAGCCCTTGCCGCACTCGCTGCACGGGTAGGGCTTCTCGCCCGTGTGCACGCGCTGGTGCTTGATGAGGCTGGAGTTCCAGATGAAGCTCTCGCCACACGTCAGGCACTCGTAGGGCTTCTCGCCCGTGTGCGTGCCCTGGTGCGCGATGAGGCTGCAGCTCTGGCTGAAGCTCTTGCTGCACTCCCCACACTTGTACGGCTTCTCCACCAGGTGGGTCCTGCGGTGCGTGACCAGGTTGGAGCTGCGGCTGAAGCTCTTGCCGCACTCTCCGCACTGGTAGGGCTTCTCGCCCGTGTGCGTCCTGCGGTGGGTGATGAGCGCCGAGCTCTGGCTGAAGCGCTGCCCGCAGTCCGGGCACGCGTAGGGCTTCTCGCCCGTGTGCACGCGCTGGTGGCGGATCAGGTTGGAGTGGTAGCTGAAGCTCTCGCCGCACTCCTTGCACGCGTAGGGCTTCTCACCCGTGTGGATGCCCTGGTGCGTGTTGAGGCTGGAGCGGTTGCCGAAGCTCTTGCCGCACTCCAGGCACACGTAGGGCTTCTCGCCTGTGTGCGTGCGCTGGTGCGCGATGAGGTTGGGGCTGCGGCTGAAGCTCTTGCCGCACTGGGCGCACTGGAAGGGCTTCTCGCCCGTGTGGATGCGCCGGTGGGTGACGAGGTTGGCACTGCGGCTGAAGCTCTTCCCGCAGTCCCTGCACTTGTAGGGCTTCTCCCCGGTGTGAGTCATCTGGTGGCGGCTGAAGTTGGAGCCGTCACTGAAGCTCTTGCCGCACTCGTCGCACTTGTAGTACTTCTCCCCGGTGTGGGTCCGCTCGTGCGTGACCAGGTGCGACTTCCGGCTGAAGGTCTTCCCGCACTGGGGACACTCGTAAGGCTTCTCACCCAGGTAGGTGCCCTGAAGGCCTATGAGCTGGCCGACCTCCCTGCCCTGGGCTGGAGCCTCCCTGGCGGCGTCTCCCCGGGCCCCCTCCGGGCCACAGTCTTTGTCCGAGTCGCCGTCCCTCTCGGAGATTCCCGAGAACATCTCAAACTTGTCCGGATTAGAGTTCTCCCCATTCTTTCTCTGTATCTCAAAATCTGAAATGATGGAGACAAACAAACAAGGTCCACTCAATCCCCTAGCATGAGGAGAAAAGGAAACCAAAGGGGAAGTTTTAACTGCAACTTCTAATGAAATTAACTAGAAAAAAGAAAAGAAAAGAAATAGACTTGAACATCCTTAACACTTTTAAAAAGCAAGCAGGTATGGATCTGGGGCTGGGGTTCAGTAGTACAGCCTGGGCTTAGGATCCAGGAGGCCCTGGGTTCCATCCCCTTCAAAAAAATAATCCAGGTTTATTTCCTACTAACTGTATATTTAGCTGTCCAGCTTCATATCTTCGTGATATTCACTGAGATTTTTAAAGATTTTGGTTTCATGTCTTTACCTGTTTCTCTATTGGGAAATGGGGTCATGTGGGAACATGAAAATCCTCATTAGAGGACAACCAGTTACACGATGACCTCCAACACTCACCACGGTGCTGATGCTTAGTAGGTGTTCAGTTACATTTGGTAAATGTATGAACAAGTTTTTCTGTTGCTATCACAGAAGTATCTCTAAGGGCTCAACTCTTTTCAAAAGTTCATAAAACATTTTGCATTAAAATGTGCGTGTTGGTTACCCGGGTGTTCTTCTTTTTCCCCAGTTAGTGAGGATTGAACCCAGGACCTTCACAATGAGCTGTATCTGTAGCCCTCTTCTATTTTGAGACAAGGTTTCCCTAAGTCACTGAGTTGCCCAGGCTGGGCTCCAATTTTCAATCCTCTTGCCTCAGCCTCCCGAGTACTGAAACCCAATTACCTGACATTTACCTAAGACAGGGATAAGATGACAAAGCCTTTGGAACAAGGACTCTAGGTGTCATACACAAATGCCTACAAACAAGTCAGTGAGCAGTTAATAGGGTCCTTCTGTCTTCAAGGGACACCACAGACAGACCTTTAACTGGTAGTGCAAAACACCTGTCTTACTTGAACCTGTCACTCTACTGCCAGGTGCCTGGCAAACATTTGGGTGAAGAATCTTTAGGAAGGACCCCTGGAAAAGTATAGTTCCTTGCTGAGCACCCTAGCATGAAAGGAGACCTGCTGGAACAGCTGTAAGCCAGGCTCGCACTGTTCTGACCCACAGGGAAAGTGTTTACTGAACTGTGCTGGTTTTTAATGGCTCTGGCTGATACTGAAGCACACGTGCAGTACCATCAGAAACTCGCAGCTGCTGGGAACGTTAATGTTGCCAGGAAGTTGTTGCTGACATTGTTTATACCACACAATGTCCTCTCAATGAGCCCCAAGAGGAAGTTTTCCTCTTAACCTTAATACCAAAGACAGCTGCTCTCTTAAGCAACTGGTTGTGTTCACCTGAGGCCCACAGCTGTAGCTCCCTTTTTGCCTAGCCACCCTGGAAGCTTACAGCCAAAAGTTCATAAACCAGGTGTACGCAGGTGTGGTGGCGCACACCTGTACCCCAGCCGTGGGGGGCGGTGCGAGTTCATGGCCAGCTTGAACTGCACAGTGAGACCCTGTCTCAAAACAAAACACACACATGCCACCCTACCAAAAAACCTTATAGCAAGAACACTAGGTAATTTTATAGCATGTATTTTTGGCATACTTTCAAGTTTTCCTCCTATTTTCTTGTTTACTATTTCTTTGCTGTATTTCTATTTTTTGTCCTTTTCTTTCTTTGTGCTATATTTCTAGAAAGTATCTCCAATACCCTCTCTTTAGAATTCTAAAAAGCATACAGAAATAATAATTTCACTGATAAAGAGGAGAACCTGATTATTGCTCAGACCTAAAATCATACCTCCTGAGAAAGCAGGGAAGACAATTAGTAAAACAATTACCCAAAGTCCCAGTCACATTTCCATTACCAAAGCTAATAAATGGTTTATTTAAGGTCGATGCTCAATTCATTGACCATCAGTTCACGACGTAGGCCTGCCTCTCTGCACCAGGGCTGGGATCCACTCATGGCTTTAGTCAACGTAAGATCATAGTAAGGGGCTGGAGATCCAGCTTAGGAGTAGCCAGAGTGCTGAGCATACTTAGACCCTAAGGTTCAAACCACAGCACCAAAAAGGACACCACAGTTAAACTCAAAAGTAGCCATATAGGTACGTATATTTCATATCACATTCACATATATGCTGATATTCTCAAGATTCAAGTAATTGTCCTGCAGCCCACTGCTCAGACCTCCAGGGGATGCATAGGTGTGATCAAAAATATACTGAACATTAATTTATTTTTGAACGTTAAATTATTACATTAAAAGACACACTACTATTAATCTTCCTTGTGGGAAACACACTAATCCCATCCTTGCCACTTTCTGGAGTAGCTTACAGAAATTTTTGTCAAAAACGTCACGGTGGGTCCTCATTCACCTTATTCACCAGATCTGACACTGTGTCACTTCTGGCTCTTCTCCAAAGTCAGATGACCACGAAAGTCACATTTCCATTACCAAATGTTTTGAATCAATTCAGGGCTTCAGTAGAGCTACAACAGTGCAGCTAAAGACACGAAAGAGGACTTCCAGAACTGCTTCAGAAAGTGGCCAGAATAATGGGATGTGTGTCTGAAGCAAGAGGAGTATGCAAGGGGAGTTCATGGCAATGTGTCTTTTACTGTAATACATTTATTTAAATATTCACTGTATTTTTTCATCAAACCATGTATAGAAATCATGGCATGGTGCCCACATCCCCTTGGACAGGGCCAGGCAGTTTCCTCAACTCACTGCAAGAGTGTTTTTTTGTTTTTGTTTTTTTTTGGTACCGGGGATTGAACTTGGGTCCTTGCGCTTGCAAGGCAGGCCACCAAACTGCTGAGCTAAATCCCCGGCCCAAGAGTGTTTTTTGTTTTGTTTTGTTTTGTTATTGTTTCTTTGAGAACTCTGTCTTCTCTCTTCAATAAAGGTCTCCAGGTCAAAGCCCCAATTTATTGTGTGCAAACTAACATGACCAAAAAACATTTTTGGGGATGACTTTGGTAACTAGTCTCTTCCGAGTAAGTGACATTTGCTAATAAAATCACAGACTGGTGGGTTTGGGTGTGAGCTTAGAAAAACAGGAAACAGAAATAAAAATGCAAACTTCATTTTCAGGGCCGTTAGGAGGAGGGTGTAATTCACTGACACCAAAATACACTCAGGGCTCCCAACACAGCTGAGATTGGTGGAGCACTGAGAAGGGAAGTGAAGGGAACACTGGACATGTGCTTGCTCAGAAAGCTCAGGAAGACAAGCCCTGAAGCTTCCAGCCTCACCCCAAGACCACAACAGCCCAGAAAACTGGAGTAAGCAGGGCGGGCTGCTCTGGTGCAGAAGGGCAAAGTGGAGAGGGCCATGAGCAGGGTCACACAGAGGAACTGGGGGTGCAGCAGTGTTTCCCACACGGAGGAGCCGAAGGTGAGAGCATTTCTGTAGTACAGAGGAGGAGCACACGCATTCATCAGGGGACTTTATGATTACTGAGGAAAAGTGACCATTTTCCATGCGTAAACAGGTAAACGAAGCAACCACATCTAGGAAGGAAAACCTAGAGGACAACTTGGAGAGAGAAATGTAAGCTGGAGGGCTCGGGGGAGAAAGGGAAACATCCAGATATGCAAGCAAATAGGAAGCACACAGCAAAACAAGGTGGTAGAAGGCACCGAAGAGAGCAGGACGAAATGTGATGACATGGGAATTGTGCAAAGGTTCAGAGGATTAGAGAGCATGGCAGAAACAGAAGTTAGGCAAAAGGAGAAGCAATAAACATACTGCAGTTCTCAAAAAACTACAACAAAAGAACGGGGGGCCAAGTGCTGGGCTGGAACCTAGGGCTTGCACATGCCAGGAAAGCGTTCCACCACCTAGTTGCACCCCCAGCCCATAGGGTCAGTAGTAGAAGCTGGATTTAGCATGTGGAAGGCACTGGGCTCAATCCTCGGTAAAAAAAAAAAAAAAAAACATTGAAATCAGGATGGGGGAATAAAGTGGGATGTAGGGTGTGTTTGTTGATTGCTTCATCTGTAATACTTGGGATTTCAGAGGGTAACATTAAAATTGGCAAATCATGTAATTGAAGTGTTAAGTGTACAAAATTAAACTAAGATTACTGACTGAAATTGGATAAGGAGGAGAGAAACTATCTCAGATGTTAAAACTATGAAATCTCAATAATCAAAACACTGATGGAGAAGATATAAAAGGAATTAAGATGTGCTACATACATATACCAACCACCCACAATTTAGTATTACTAATATAAGTACCGCATGCTAACCAATCGCACCACTGGAGCACCTGTGCTACTAATAAAAACATGTACTATTAATATTTTTAAAAACCTAGAAAGCAATCTGACCAAAACAAAAAACCAGCAAATGCTAGCTGGAAACAGTGGTGCATACCTGTAATCCTAGCACCCTGGGAGGCTGAGCCAGGAGGATCGCAAGTCCCAGCCTAGCCTGGGCAACTTAACAATAACCTATCAAAAAATTAAAGTGCTCAGTGACATAATGCTTTTGCCCAGCAAGCACAGGTACTGGCTTTAATCCCTGGCACCAAACACACCACAGAATTTTACTAACTGAAAGTACAGTAAGTCCCTGACTTCCGAACATTTGAGTCATGAACTTTCACAGGTATATTGTGTAAGACTCACTGTTGGCTTACGAACAAATCCAACTTAGGAACAATTCTCCTAGAAAGGAACTCATTCGTAAGTCTGGGACTTGTACTTGATGTTCCAAGATGCCAGGATGAGCTCATTTGTGGCTGTGGCAGGCAAAGGTATTGACACACACGTGTGTGTAAGGCCCAGATCTCCAGCAGAGGAAATTCAAAAAGGTACGTATTAAGGAAATGGATAGGAAAGGGTTTTATTTTCTAAATATTACTCATTTCCCCAAAACTACTGAAACAGGTAAGAAGTCCCCTTATCTATACAGAGACTTTAAGGGTTTGACTATCCTGTGTAGTTTGAAAGCTGATCAGTCTCACAAAATACATACTATGCATGTTACATTACTAATTTCACAAA